GACAAAACTGGGTTTATTTCTGTACTAGCTTGCTGTTGTTCCTGCTCCAAGAGTGAGTTTCAGTGAACCCACTCCAAATTCAGACTAGCTGTGAAGTAGAGAAGCAATTAGGCACCTCACAGTAACCATATTGTTATCATCACTCATTTTCCAAAGGACAAATTTTTATGGCAAAAACTATGGTTCACTGAAACACAAAGGTTCACTTAAAACTGCTTAGGTTCAGCAGACTTCTGTGGAACTGAAGACAGACAGACAGAACTATCTCAATTTTTTGAGAATCACCAGTTTAGGGGCATAAAGGGTAAAGTCCTTGGCAGATATTAAGTGAAACTGATGGCATGGAGTAGACATGAAGCCAGCTACAATATTCATTTCACTCAAGAGCTACAGAATCTTGGGAGCTTCTGGTCTGCCAGCGATTTCAGTGCCTTCTGGTCTATGAAAAAAATTTAAGCAAACAAATTCCAAACTTCAAGAAACTTCATTCTTAAGACAGATATAGTCATTAGAAATAGTAATAACATTAAAATCAGAAGATACAGTATATATCTAAAGAGTTTAAATGAAATGTGCTCAAAAGGATTAAAGTATCAACCAAAAAAAAAAAATAAATTTGTGAATGGCTGAGTTACTTGATTTAATAAAAATTATTTTTTAAGCATCCCAGAAAACCAAATACCATCATGAAAACTACCTGTAAGTCTAAGTCCACAGTTGTTATGGTGTTTGTAATAAGAATAATCATGGGAAAAATATGTAGAAAGTGTAGAAAGGAAGAGGAACTCTCTGAAACAACTCTGGCAACCATGATTTTTCTCCTTTCAGCTCTGCAGTAGATTTCAATTAACTCCTTCAGATTCTGAATACACTGTGCACAGTGAGAGAAAATTCACTCTGCACACACAAAATGCAAACATTCCAAAGAACGCATCATCCAAGCACAAGAATTCTCCTATGTGAATTTAAATCTGTAAATCGGCATCTCAGCTCTCTGCAAATGTGACCCTCTGCTTTCACTGCACTTTGGGGCATAAGCAATGTATCAAAAACTGTTTTTTTATCACAGTTCACCACAGTTTAAAAGATTTTTCACTATAAATTTAGCTTCATGTAAAACTTCCCAGCTTCTGAAATGTTATTTTGTTCAAAAAGCAAAATAAATCCCAATTTTACCCATTGCTAAGAGGTCTGAATTTGACTAAATGGGACTAATAACTTCAGCATGGCAACACGCATCTGTTTTCCAAGAAGGAAGATTGAGCTCAGGGAATTCAGATATATGAGATGTGGGAATACAAGCTCTGGGCATTTCATTTCCTATGGTCCCACGCTGTAGCCAGGGGCCTAGGACTAGGGAGGCCGTCATAGAAGTACAGTTCAGTGTAGCAAACTGTTAACGCCTGGTTGACCTTCCTACCTGTAAAATCAACAGTTTCCACGTGCCTACATACACTTTGCTGTTACTAAGAACACACCTGTGCCCTTTTCCACTCTAACATGTCACCCAGTAAAGCCCTGCCTGGACAACCCCCAGGCATAGACTCAAAGAAATAAAACAGTGAATACAATGTTCAAACAATTATTCCTCACAAGTTTTCATGACACCTCATCAGTGAGATATATTAATGTGAAATCTATTTTCACACTGGATCATTCAGAACGGTACAGGAACACTTGCACATGGAGCACCTGCATGTGTAAGACCCATGTACTAAGCCCAGTTCTTTATAACAGTAAATGGCTGGTGCAAGGGCATTTAAGCTTAAATATCAGTGACCATCCATCATGCCCGGGAGGTTCCAGCCTAAGGGACTGAGTGCACTAAATTACAAGGCATCGGATCTGATCACCACTGACATCCTGCACCCTTGGGGCGTGACACTGCAGGGCACACAGCCACCCCGGGGAGAGGACCAGAGAGGGCCTCCTGGACAAAGAAAACACTGTCTTGAAATATCTCTCTTGTTAAATTCAACAGCAGTTAAATTCACAGTGCTGCCTCTCAGCATGTTCCACAGAGAAATGACAGAAAGCTTCAGAAAAGCTGTTATTAATAATATAATGACAGCTTCCCTTCAAATTATTTTTTCTTTTTCTCCCCTTTCTTCTCCCTAGCTGTTGGGAAAGTCTCATAGGCCAGCAGTCTCCAAACACTTCTGACCACACACACTGCCTATAAAAAAAAAGTCTGAACACACACTCCCAATGTATGTACATAATTTACCAAGTTATAAATTACATATACCCATTACAGAAGGACTAATATTTTCTTCCTGCATCCCAGTGGATTTCATGGCACAGTCTCTGTGACACACACTCCCCACCTTGCAGACCACTGCCACAGTGAAGTGCAGCTCCAGGTCCACTACAGTGAATCTCCGAAGCTTTCTATGTAAGAAGGAAAGAGGTATAGTGTACCAGCTCAAATACCCTGCATTCTTGCTCTCTGCATATTTTCTTTTACCATACATAAATCCACAGATGTGAACAAAGCATATCCCTGGACCCAAAAACTCACTTTGATTTTGACTTGAGTAATGGCTGTCAATAAAAAAGCTCAGTAATAATTCTACAGAGAATTCCCTCATCTTAATAATTAAAATAGATTAATAGCAAAGACAAAATTATTTTTCCAGTATACCTCTCCTCCTTTGTCTCTGACTGAATGCAAGTAAAATTCCAAAAAGAGAAAAAGTACATTTATTTTTAAAAGAGGAAAAATAAGATATAGTACTAAAAACACAGTATGATAAATGCAGTCAATGTGACAATGTCAGATTTAACAGTATCTGTGGCTGTGTCTAGTTGTTAATCCATCCCTCTCACACCGTCATTCAAGCTATTGCAGTTCTGGTATTGGGCATGAAGTTGACTGTGTGAGAAAAAGATTTCTTGTGGTTAAGCTACCATCAGGTTTACGCTGGAAAATAAAAGGGAGGGTCACAAAGTACTTAGTTATCCTAGAAAACTCCAAAATGTTCAGTGTTCATGGATACAGAAGAGTTTTGTTGATATAACTTAAAAAAAAAAACTTTTCTGCTTCTTGAAGTTAAAACATCAAAAGATGACAATAAAATATTTTTTAAAGATTTTTTTTCTTACCTAATAATGACACACTGATTTTCTCTGTCAATAATCATGTTTCTGTACATGCTGTCTGCAAGAGCATAAATATGTGGTGGGTTTTCATATTGTGCCTAGGAGGGGAAATAAAGAATAATTTTCAACACAGCATTAAACACAGAAAGAGCCATATAAATTTTTATTTAAATTGGAAGAATTCTTTTCCTGGAAAAACAATTCTGAATCCCACTTTATACTGAATTTTCACCAGGAATTTTTTTGTTCGTTTAATAAAAACAAACCAAAGTCTCTGGGTTTTGTTACCGATCTTTCTCTCATCCATAATTTTCTCCCAAAGTATTGTAAACACCCTGTTCTAAAAATGGTTTGTGCTTGAAATATATTACTTGTCCAAGAGAAACTCACATAATTTAAGCCTTTTCCACCAGTGGTCATATGCTAACAATAACCTACATAAACTGCTAAACAGAGCCTGGTGCTATATGTCTCATTTTCATCCACCAAGACTATTCAAGCTGAATGGTTTCCCAAATCTATGGACATGCCCAGCTCAAGCAGAGCAGGAAACTGGAATTTAAGTTCTTTGAGCTGACTCCTCAAGCTATATTCTCAAAAGTGTCATCTAATTTTGGCATCTTAATTTTTTTATTGTTCTCATCCAGTTTGAGAGTTTTCAAGTCATAGTCTCCAAATCTACTAATGGCCATTTTGTATCGTGCACCACACTTTAAGCATACAATAACTTAGAAACTGCCTTTACAGAAGGAGGGATGTGTCGAGAAACCTGATATGGATTAATCAATAGAACTATTTTATTGAAATACTAATCCCGTGTTGTAGGGAATTCAATTTGATGACTCAATATATGGTAATGGATATCAGCCAAATTCTCCCAGGCTAGTACAACACTACTAAAACCCCGGAACAAATACGTCCAAGAGTTTAACCGTGTAGAATAATATTTACATGCCCCTGAATACAGCAGTACATTTTAGACTGCTTTACTTACTGCTCCTTGGTACATTTCAATTTCCTTTTCCCCAAAATATGGCATTTGCTTGAAAGGATTCACAGAGATTAACACAGAGCCAATATATGTCTGTATTCAAAAGAAGTTAAGGTAACTACAATTTCATAAAGTATTATCTTACCACTAGTGACTGCCAAATAACTTTTCCTTCTATTACATAATGCATCACAGCTTCAAATAACATTAAAAAGCCCACAGTTTACAACAATTGTTAACAAAAATTAAATTATAGGAGGCTTACAAGAATATAAATATATCATTCAATAGGATATTATCAAAATATTTCTTTTAGGACAAGCTAAGTATAGAAACATGTATCAGAGGCCCAAACACAACACACCTTGCATAAAAATACAGAAAGGAAATGGCACATTTAAAATTGTTTTACTCCTTTGAAACTGAGCAGGTCATATAGTCAGTATTAGAAAACATTGTTTTGACCTTTACGGAACACAGTGACACATTCTGATCTCACAGATACAGTGCTGAGCATGCACAGTCGGATGGAAACAGCTACAGCTGAGTAAAATTGGACAATTACTCAGCTGCATGTACCAGTGGGGAGCTCAGGGAATTTGGTAATTCAGAGGTGTGACTTCATGAGTGTAACTATTAATAGTCCCTAGAAGCCTTATCCTGCAGGCTGCCCTATAGGAAGCAGCTCCGTTTCAAGGTATTATTAGTGCCAGAGAGCTTTTTTGCAACGTTTTTAATGTGTTTCACCATTCTGCATACAGCTGCACATGTCCTACATTTACAAAATACTTTAGAAACCTTTGGAGTAAGAATTGCAGCATACATACATGAAGCCACGGACACTACCTTACAGGCAGGACTGGTTCACTGTGCTGGGAGTCAGCAGTGTACTCATGCCAATGAGTCCAAATGTTGTACTGCAGGTTTCATTTAACAATCTGGAATTGTCTGTAGGCAAACTTACTAAGCTTTCTGTCCAAAAGTAGGAAAATTAACAAATTTATGCTGCTGGCTTATCCTACATAAGAATCTATTATTGTGGTGCCACACCATGAAATGGCAACAATGTAGGGAATAAGTATAACTCAGTGAGCATAATTTCCGTGTCGTTAATCTGCAATGCTCTCTTCATACATTTTAAAAAATTAATTTAAAGAAGAGTGACAACATCTGAGTCTCAAATATAATAAATCAAGCATTCATTGTGTCAGTATAAACATCCAAAGTAACAGTTTTCTGTTGGTAAACAATACCAGCATTTTCTGGGGCGATTTGGTAATCTCTATGCGACACAGCACAGAGAAACTTTCATTCATGAGTGGACATACAAACAATTAGAAGATTCAAGAGATTATCTCCATTTTAGAATGAAAAGCCACAGAACTGCAAAATAAGTCTTTTCTCCCTACACAAAGGAATTATAATGCTTTAAAAGAAGACTTTGATCCCTCATATGACCAGAAGTCCCCTTGGAAAGCATACTTATTATTCCTGCTTCAGTAAAAAGACCATCTCCATGTTACGATCACTCATTTTTATAAGAAGAAAAAGCATAAAGCCATTTCTTCAGCATAGAGTACTGAAGACTTTGTGAATCTACTTAATGGAAGATGAAGCATTCCACACAGACGAAAGTGCTCATGTTACTAACAGCAAGACCACTAGAGTTTGCCCCAGAACTGTATTTTGACAAATATTGTGCAACTAACATTTCAAATTTAATCATGCTGTGGTACTTTATTCAACAGAGGATCCAAACCCATGTGCACACACATATTAAAAACCTCTGCAGTTTGGGATAGAAATGTCAACACGACTGCATCATTAATTCTCCTCTATCAGTCCTTGCTAAATTGAGCTGCTACTTAGCTCTTAACATCTGAATATATGGAAACAGCCAGGAGATGTTATATTTCCTTCCCTTTCTGCTAAAAAAAGTTAAACTCTTCAAGGAACTATTCTACAGACACAACTAGGAAGTATGACAACCTGGCTACAGCAGAAGAAACAGTATCACTGCCTAGTGACTAGTGTGTTTACCAAACTCATTACTGCAGCTCATGTTACACTGTGAGAGCTAAAATTAAATAGTGACTATTCTTATCTCAAGGAATTCCTTGCATACAAAATTAAAGAAAAAAAAAAAAAAAAAGGCAAACTTTTGGTGCTGAAATCTGTTTCTTGTTAGGTTATATGTTCAGGTATTTAAGTCTCATGTTTTCATTAATCACAGAAAGAAAAAAATTTAAGTGTGAACACCGTAGATTTGCAGATGTTTGCATGTTCACGTGTTTCCATCAGCCCACAATTCATAGTATTAACAATTCCAGAGTAAGTTGCAAATGGGGTTATGTCACAGAAGAAACGCTATTTTGTAAGAATTAGAATTTATGAGATATAGAAGACAACATGGTATCAGGACACATACATATACACTTTAAACCTATTAAGCATTACTGCAGTAGCTTCAAAGGTCATGTAGATATGTAAATATATGAGCTACAGGCCTACCTTCAACAATGACAAGAACAATTTCAAATATCAAAAAACAAACCTTAAAATAATTTTTCAGGTCTTAATTTCAACCCTCATAATTAGCTCACTTTACAAAGCATTTTGTGTGATCTCAGTTGAACTGTCACATAACATGCTCAGCATCTGAGTAATCTGCTTAAAGAGAACATGTGCATATCATTAGTTTCACACTGGCTCAGCAAGTCCATAGGGCCCCACTGAAAACAACACTACAAAGGATACAAAAATATAATCATCCATGTATCGTTTCTTTAGGTTCTCCACTATGGAATCCTCTGTGATCTTGGGAAGAAGGACCATATCATCCACTCCACTGTGCTTAACATTGTGGCTCTGCCAGTGGTATCTGTAGTGTCCTTTGCTGCCCTGCAGGAAAGCACAATAAGCATCAAAAAAGGTACTATGTTTCTCATTAGCATTAAATAACCGAAAATCATCTATTCAAATTCCAACTTCAAAAATATTTTTTTTCACTGAACTCTACTCCTTGATATAGGCATACACAAATTATGTCAACTGACTTGCCCCTGAACTACTGAAGAATAGCACTGCCCTCAAAAATTAGCAGGTAATTCCATGGGATTTTGTGAAGGTCTACACACAGAAGGGATTTCAGATGGCAGACATTTCTAAACTTAGCAGAAAAACCCAATTATTCCAACTGAGATGCAGTTATTGGAAGCTAATAATGCAAAAATGACACTCCTACAGTGCATCTACTCGTAGTGAGGATAGTTACCACCTGAACTGTTAAACTGGGTATACTGGATTCTCCATCTTTTAGTCTTTTAAGTCAAACCTGCACATCGGCTGTTACTCAGATGGAAGCTGTGAGCCTGATGTGTAAGTATTCAGTGAGTTCTGCAGATTACATTACGCAGCTTGTTGGCCGTGTGTCTTAACAGCCCCTTTTGATCTGTTAGTCACCATGACTGACATCTAAATAGATATTCCCTCCCCACACTTAGAGACTACTATTTCAGGATGCTACTGAAAACTTGTGACATCTCAAGCTGTACCACTTGAAATCAAAATCTGTTTTTTTCCAGCTGAATTGAACAGTAGTTAGGTTCTATGGATACACCCACTCAGATATAAATCTGCTCTCCAAATCCAAACCTATTTTCTGTAGCCTGGCAGATAACGCTAACAGAGTTCTGCACTCTTGCCTTTTTATACTTTAGATTTTTTTTTACACAATACTGAAACCAGTGATGCTGGAATTAACCCGTTTTACAGTGAGAATTTATTGAATATGCTGTGAAGGAAGATGTGGCCAACAACATGGCAATTCTGTGTATTCCCCTCATTTTTTAATACCACAATTTCAAACAATGTGATTTAGTTACACTGCTCTCGTGTATGTTATGGCATCAAGTCATATTCATCAGAATACAAGCAGTTTATTGTTACAAAGCATTTTGCAGGATAAAATATCACATAATTTTACAGTTTAAATAAGGAAATGTAAGTACTCTGAATGCTTTGCTGCACTCAAGTATTTTGAAATGAGGTATCAGCAGTTGAGACTTGTGTGTGTACACACTTCCACATTAGCAAATGACCTGTGTGACTGTATTGACAGAAAAGTGCCTCTGCTGAATTGCCTCCTCACGTGAATAGTCAAGCATCTGCACCAACACCAGGTATAGGAGTGGGAACTACAAATGGAGTCAGGAGAGCACAAGGTTCTTATTTTAAGCTGAGTTGGCTAAAAGTGTTCATTAAACTAGCCTCAGACTATGTTCTTCCACAAACTTCACTGCATCTATTAGTGGGAAAACCCAACAAAAACACAGATTTATTTCACAATGCATATTAGCAAATATTATTAGTCTAATCTATAGGTTAGCCACATCTCAACTTGAATGACATAAAAACTAAGGAATAAGTGGAATTTAATCTTGAGTTAAACTAATTTGCACTAAAACCAGACCCATTTTATTATGGCAGACAGTACAGAACTTGTAGGCTTTATGTATGTTTTCTATTAAGTCTCCAACCATTGTTGCCACTGATGTAGCTCTGTCACAGCTAACAACACTGAAGAACAGTTAAACTTGAATTAAAAGAATGCTTTTTAATATAGTACAGCAGAGGTAAACATGTCTGAAAACACACAATCTCAGCAGTTTTCTTGAACACCCACAACCTTACATGAACTTCAATAAAATAATAAGCTTCAACTAACTTAGTTTGCATGAACCTCGTCAATTTGATAGTTGCACAATGGAAGCAGTGATCTGGAAGCACTGAGAAAATGAAGGAACCAATTCTTTTTTGAAATTGTGACTTTTTTTGAAATGCATGTGACTGAAAAAAATCAGTCGAAGGTTGGGTTACTGGAGAAAACAGAAGTCCAACAGAGAAGCATAATTTCCTTCAGTGTACTCATCAGCTATTTGTGATACTACACTTGGAAAAAGGAACTGGCAGGATGGACAAAAAGGTACAGTATCAAAATAAATACAGATAATTACTTTTTTCCCCAAGCTATATAGAATGAGGTTTAGTATCAGATAATAGAATAAACTACAGAAAATATGTAAGAAATGAGAGTGGGAAACAATCAAGCTTCCCACTGGAAGCTATGGCATCAGACCCAGTAAATTCAGCAAGAGGACAAAGCTCACAAAGCCACAGGACAACATGGAATATGTGCACACAGTCTGCAAACAGCAGGCTTTGTTAAAGTCAGTCAGTGGCTGTTGTTGACTGTGATTAAGCCAAACACACTACCAGGCCAAAGGGTTTTTTCCCAAAAGCAATGTGAAGAGGCACAGCGCCAGGAAGGCTCGGCTTGCCCTGAGAGCAGCTTTCCCAAGTGCTCACACACTGCATCAGCGTGCAGCTGTAATCAAACCCAAGTACAACAGCATCTCATACAGTCAAATGGAAAAGGATGCAGAGAGATTTAATAAAAAGGCAGCAGACTAAAGAGTCAAGCAGACTAAAGAGCCAAGAAGGCAATCGCATGGAAGACAGCTGAGAGTGGTAGCACTAAGTCGTTTGCATTAATACTGTATCACATTTTAAATGGAAGTTTTCTATCAGTAGTTTGGAACTACTTTTTTTTTCCCTTAAAGCATGGCCTTACATGCAAATATACAGAGAAGTAGCAAATCATCACCAGATGATTATCAGACTTCTCCCTACGATCTAGAAACAAGACCCAGCTTTAGTAGTGTCTAACTGCATCTGTGGTTAAGTTTTGTTCTTACTTGTCGCTTCTCCAGGAACCTAACACCAGTAAGATCGGCAACGCACAGCAGCTAGCACTTCCTTGGCCTGGGCAACAAAAGAAGAGAGTGCTGTTTCTACAGGACAACATCCACCCCCGAGTGCTTGCTCTTCCAAGCATGAGTGATGACTACAGAGTCAAATCTGAATTTATCAATTTCAGTCACTTCCAAATGGTACTATAACCATGTCCAGCTAACAGTTTTTATAGTTTTGAATTATTTTTTTTTAAATCTTGTCATAAATCATCTGAAAGGACTCCACAGCAGTTGTAAAAGCATCTCTTCTTATTTCTCCAGGTTGCATATTTCATAAAGATCAAGGATATATACCTTAAACACTACAATGCTCTTCAATTGCTCTCATTGCAAACAGTAATAATTTCTTCTTACTGCATATTTCTTGAGAATTTAACCTTTATTTTAGCTAGAGCTCTCTACCATCCAGATAAAAATGCGGTACTCTAACCTGGAGACAATTTATACCTGAGCTAGTTACCTAGTGGCCACCTTAACCTGAGCCTGCTTTGTGGGGAGGACAAACTAACTCACTCAGCTGGTAAGTGCCCTCTGTTGTCCTTCGCACAACAGGCTTTCACCTCCACCAGCTCCTGGGACAGGTCAGGTCTCCCTGGACTGACCAGGAACTCCAGAGCCAGCAGAACAAGGGCAGGTAGAGATGCGCCACACCTCCACGTCAGCACGAGGCACAGTGAGGGTTCAGTAACTCCGCAGAGCTGCCCCAAGGCAGGGCCAGACTGGGCAGGCAGAGCCTCAGAGGTTGCGGTCGATCCCTGGGCCTAGCCGTGCAGGCTGTGTGTCAGCAAACGGCACCTTGGCTCCTCTCAGGTTTTCTCAGTGAAAGATGTGATTCTAGCTGTGCAGTAACTAAGCAAATGAAAGTCTTTGTGTCAGCACTAACAATGCCTAAACAGCTGAAAAAAGATAAGCTTGGCAGATTTTGAAAAATACAAAAACCCAAAACCGCATCAACAGCCACAGAAATGGAAACCCAAGTGTGGAAGCCCGGGCTGCCAGGCCTCCTCCCAGCCCTCCCTGAGCCCCAACCCAGCACCTGGCATGGCACTGGGAACGGAGGCTGGGCTGGCAAAGCTGGAACTCAAGGCGTTGTACTGCATTGCTGTCAGCTGTTATTATTCATTTGATTGCTGTTTCAGGCTCAAAATCAGATCTGCTTTGCACTGGCAAGAATAACATTTGTGAGTCACAAGATGACCCTGTGAGCGAGGAGCCCACTGTTTCCAGGCCCTGTGGCTGCAGGAGCACACACAGCCACCACCTGGCTAGAGACTGTCCTCTCCACCTCAACAGATGCATTATCTCTAGAGAACACACAAAATTAATGCTACTCTCCCTCTGTACATCTCCTGTAACACCCACTCATTAACAGATTAAGACAATTGCTACATTAATACCAAGAGAGTGGATGTAAAATACTTTCTACATACTAAATACTGTCTTTAAGTTCTGTATTACTTTCGGTATGGTATGGTTAAAGCATATTATTGATTTTTTTGGAATGAATAATAAATATGGATGAGATTTATTTACAAAACTTTTTTTTTTTTTTCTGCCCTCCACCTTGTGTTACAATAGCAACTGCTGATTTCTTATTTTTGCCTTTAATATTGTTTGTATATTTTTACATTATCCTAAGCAACACGTATTTGATGTGGCCATAAAAAGATTGAGTCATGCTGTGTCACCACAGGGTTTTCTTTTAACTGGAAAAAAAAAAAAGCAAATATTTTTGTATTTCAAGCTTTTTAAAAATAGTGCATCTAAAAATAAAGCACTAAAAACAAGGGATAAGAAAATACTGTATTTCTGTCCCTGAGAAAGAGCCTTGTTTCTCTCTCTCCATCCGAACTGTCTAAACTACAACCACCTACATACCATAAATAATCATTCTTGGTTCCCACAAAGGAGAAAACTGCCATCCTGAATCTCTGACAGCTTTTTTCAGTAGCAAACGTCAGTCCTCCTTTACAGTGCAGAAGGGATTCTCATCCTCCACAAGGGAGTAAGGAGTGTCAAATGATCACAAGCATGACCTTTTCTCTCCCTTTTCAGCTATGATAGAGTACGATTGCATAAAATC